CAGCAGAACAGAGATTTACAAGACTGAATCGTATTCATTGGAGAGAAAAGCTGAACATTATTAAAGTGTCATGGTTGTTCTGTGCTGATATGTTCTACTTATTGGGGTTTAATGCATTCTAAATTCTGTTGCTGGTCACAATACCTGCGAGTGTTGTTGGAGTGTTGTTCATATTTGTGCTGGTGATCATGTCAGGCATGGGCTGGGGTGGTGCACAGTCACATACGAGGCACGCTGATAACAAAGTGATAGAAGTGGGAGGGATTGTTTACCACATTACTACGATATCCTCACAGTTCACACTGGAAGCAAAAAGCACATTCAATAGCACCACTTATGGAGAGATGATGCGTTTAGTGTTGCTGTTCATTGCTTACTTTAAATAACTAACTTAACTTAGGAGGAACTCCAGATATCGTGGTTCTCCAGATAATGACATGCAGAAAGTTGTGTTCCTTCTTCTTTTTTTTTTTTTTTTTTTTTACAGTGTTTAGTTTATGATTTTGTAACTGCAGAAGCTTTTTTTTTTTCTACTCAGTTTAATAGAGAATGATCTGCGGAGGGACGAACATTGGACACACGCTGCGTTGCTTACGTGGCAGTTTTCTGTGGACGTCTTAAAGATAAGTGTTAGTCGTGACTGATTGTGCTCTTCCTTTCCTTTCAACTTGGGCTTTGACAACTCAGGTGACAGAACATCCTCTGTATGATCAAGTGATTATAATGTGCTGTGATACAGACCTCATAACTACTGTACTTGGCAACCTGGTATTTATTCAGTGCCATCAAGGTTACCCAATCAAACAAATGTTGTTTCTGTTAAATGGTCTCCATTAGAGAAAGTACCTCTGTTGAGATCTCCCGATGGGCTGACTGGCTCAATCAGAGTCTGGTTTTCTGCTTCAATCTCAGTCACTAGATCCTCTGCAGAGTTTCCCTCTTGGCTTTGGTCACTGTGGGACCAGCTTCCTCTACTGAGACACACAAGAGAGCTCCCACCCAGCAGTATACTGAAGGCAACTACAACTGTAGTGCAGATGATCTGTCAAAGAACACACACATGCAGACTTTTAGGTCATTCGTTGGGGGTTCAATAGCAGTTCCTAAATGGCAGAAAAAGTAATGATTTCCACTCATGTTACCTGTGGTTTGCCGTAAAAGAATGCCGAGTCAATAGTGTCTGACATTTTTACCCCAGAAATGAGCAACACAGCAGTTACTGAGGCTGGAACCCTGTTAATTAAAGACAAAAAAAAAGTATTAAGATGTAAAAGGTAAACCATCTTAACGACACTGAACTGCAGATTAAATGTGCAGGAATTGAAAAGGTTTGTTTGATCATTTCCATTGAAGTGAGGCATCATCACCCCTGTAAAAAATCCTCCCCAACATGTGAACTATAATTTAGGGCAGTTATTCTGATTGAGGCTCTATTGTTTTAAAAGACCAGACAAACTAGTTAGTTTCATTTCCGAGGTATGTCTTCCTTAATGACTCACCCCCAGCCAGCTATGACGAACAAGCCCGGTGAAACTTTCACATCCTCAAACCTTTTTATGAGCACAAGAGAAAGTGCTATTAAACCTAAAACACCAAAACAAGCATTAAACAATTAGCAGTCAAACTTCAGATTCCAGAGCTCACCAAGATAAACGAACGTGGGGTTAATGTGGCTGGATGGTTGTGTGCATACCTGGCCAAACAAAGGTACTGTAGAGGGAGGTACATAACAACGAGAATGTCAGGATTTGCCCGACGAAGTTGTCTTCTTTCACCACAAAGTTCCACAGGATCATCCCGATACAAGTAAGAAACTAGAGAACAGACACATGATGTGAAGTTAAACTTACTGGTAGATGTCTTGTCAATTCAATTAACGGATAATCAAATCAATTTAGTGAGTATGTGCAAGTGTGCTCACCTGTGCAAAGAAAAGGTTGACTGTAAACATGTGAGGAAGCCTCTTGAATTTCTTGCTTAAAAACATGACAGTAATTGTCCACACCTGGAAGAGAAAAATATATATTTAAATTCATAAAAACCTTTGCAGAGATGCTAAATACAACTATTATTAAACAGTGTTGGCAAGTTATCTATTTAAAAGCAAAGGAACAAGAAACACTAAAGATTTACAGCAATAAGTTGCAGGTTCCTTAAAGGATACACTGAAAGTCGAAATTAAAGAGGAAGTAGGTCCATAATTCAGTAAAGCATCTGTTTGGCCACACATCCTCTGAATGACGGTGGTTAAAAACATCCAACAAGAGGCCATATTGTTTTGTATTTTCAAAAAGATGGTGCGTGTAATATCAATGGTGAATTGTGCCATGTTATGGAACTAACTAACTGAAATCATGAAAGGGCAAACTGCCTTCAGTTAAGAAGTGGAGCATGCTAGAACAAATTTCATTCACTTTGACCTCAGTTTCCACACACCGAGAAAAAATAATGAACAAAAGAACCAGCTGTTAAAAAGTCAGCTGTAAAATATTAGCCAACAAGAAGTTCACACATGTCACACTAAAGCGCACGACTCACCAGTGCAACCAGGGAAACTATGCTGATGTTAAAGCTGACATTCTGCAGTGAATTCATCAATAGCTGAGGATCCATCCAACGCATTGTAAGTAACCAGGCAGAAACAAACATGATTGGAGCCGAGAGAAAAGTGCTGATCATCATCCCAGAGGTGACCTGTTAGGAAGCACAAATCAAAATCACGGAGGTAAAATACAAAGAAATGAACAGCTCAGAACCTGTATGGCACATAAGAGGTTGGCAGGTAGATGTATAGAACTCACAACTTCCAGCTCTGCGTTATAATAGACAGCATAGATGGCCACGCTTGGTGCGGTGGGAAACACTCCATAAAGAAAAGCGTAATTGGAGAGGCTCGAGTGGTTCATAGCGCCGGTGTTGCTGTTGTCCAACAGATCCACCATTTCCTTACAAATCAGCGGCATCAGCAACCTGAAACTCAAATCCAAAGACGGGTGTCATGAACCATTGTTTGAGGGTTTAGTTAACACTACACTGAAAAATGCAGTTCTACTAAATTATTTACAGAGCTATTATCATGCTACACTCTCCTAAGACCTCTTTGCATGTCACTTGGTAAAAGGCTTTGTGGTGCGGGAGATGTCTGAGTCACCCAAACCATCAGCACAAAACAACATGTTGGGAGCCCTTTACAGACCTGCTGACTCTGCACACTCCTAAGAGCATGTCTCATTAGAAAGAGGTCATCTGATAACACTAAATCATCTCTTGCACAAACATCAGGAGCAGTGAAGTTGTTGGGTTTTTTTTTCCCACTCACAGTTTTGCTGTAGTGAGTAATATCAGTGTCACGACTGTGGATCTGGTTAATTTCCCCAACTGTCCCACCATGGTGAGACCCAAGTAGAACAGAGCTGCTCCCCCGAAAGAGTTGGCCAAGCCATCCACAAATTCAGCCATGAAGGGAGGAACCGTCTGGTGGAGGGCAAAGTGGGCGATGATGCCGATGATAACCATGAACACTATAGGGTTCTTCAGGACCTGTAAGACTACAAGTCCCACGATCAAGAGTTTTCTCTGCTGGCGATACGCCCCATTCTTCCACTTCTGGATCTCGCAGAAGGCAAAGCCGATGGGATTTAGAAGCATCAGGGACACGGGTGCAACCAGGTAGATGTACTGGAGGTACTCTGGGTATGTACTCTGGTACAGGGCCTCAACTGTGGATGAAGACAAAATGGAACAAATATTCAGTGAAAGCAAACAAAGGATATGTTTCGGAAATGTCACCACTAACATATCAAATGGGGGAGAAAGGCTTAGGAGCAAGTTGATGCTGCTAGAAATTCTGCTTCACTTGAATGAAGAACTGCGGGAATTACCATCCACTCCATTTTAAATTTGCATAATTGTCAGTTATTCGATCAAGCTTAAATGGGTGCTTTATTAATTTGATAACAGCCTGAGACGACTATTAAAACATGCAAACAGACCATTAAAGCACAGGGTTTTTTAATCATTGGGCCAGTTTTGGTAGATTAAATGTAAACTTTTCCAAATAAACTAAAGGTAGCTGTGCATACACATGATCAAAGATGTGTTTTCTGCAAGTATGCAAGTACAGGATGATGAAAAGGTCACAACCTCTGTATTTGTTTTGTATGAATGTCAATAAGGGAGGGCCTTGGAAGCCATCTCATTGTTTGCTGAGGTAGTTTACATTGCAACATAAAGATAATTATAGGTTTGGTTTGAAGGATGGGCAAACATGCATGTTTACATTTGCAGCAGTGAATAAAAGGCACTGTGGGTGGTAGGCTTAAAGTCATCATACTTACCAATGGGATAGCCCAAGGCAAAGTCATTGCTTTGGGTGGCAAATATCGAGAAGAGCCCAGCTTTACTGTAGCGGCCCTCGGGACTGGCAACTATTAGCGTGAGCACGCACACGATGACAAACACAGCCACTTTGGCAATGAGGATGCTCCACAGGAACGGCCAGATGACATTCCCAAAGTCCAACAGCACCATGTTCTTGAACAGCAGCGCTGGGAGAGCAAACTTGGACACAAAATTCCCCAAACCTTTGGCCTGGGTGGACGTGATGATGTTCGCCCTCCCTGCGATGTACCCACACAATATGATCCCAAAGCACTCCAGCAGAGCCGGTAAGAGTTTGTCAATGGACATGCTGGATGAGAGCGCAGAGGAGTCCCCGTCGTCCCCCTCCTCGTGTGAACAATGGAAGTTGTTGGCTCTTTCCGGTGCCTCCATTATGCCGACGCTCCCTCGAGGGTGACCTGTCACGCCTGGTTTGAAGTCATGTCAATGTCCGCGGTACTGAAAGAGGGAAATGAGCTACAGTTAAATCAGGAGCCGTTACAGCTGTCGAACAGGTCGGTGCAAAGATGACCACACAACTGCGTTAGTTAACCGAAACAACATCATATCCGTATGTTAAAACTGTTACCATATCCAACGAGCGTTTCAATGTCAGTGTGGGCATTACAGTTACTCACCTGCTTTGTGTTGTCCCCCCTCAAGTAACGCTGCTGTAACGGTCACATGGACACAGGAGGAGCGGTTAGCCAGCTAAGCTAAAGTGGTGAACCGAGAGTAGCTAAGGGTGTCGTCGAAAATGTGGTGTTAAAAAGCTTGTAAATCCACTGTTAGGAAACTGTTTACATAATTCTTCACTAGCCAACATTTGCTGCTCAAACTGCGTACGTTACATAGGTATTAACAGTAGTTCAGTTCCCACCCAGCAACTTTTATAATCTCCGATTGTCAACAACGGTTTAACCAATCACATTAGCCAGACAGTGGGAGGGGGCGGAGCTTATACCCTCATCTCTGCTGCCTTAAAGAAACAATATTCAATATATCTATATATTAATATATAATGCTGTTTGCATTATACACCATCTGCTGTTTGCATATGATGTGGTCCTGTTAGCCTCCTCGGATCGTGACCTCCAGCATTCACTGGGGCGGTTTGCAGCCGAGTGTGAAGCGGCGGGGATGAGAGTTAGTACCTCCAAATCTGAGGCCATGGTTCTCTGCCGGAAACCGGTGGATTGCTCCCTCCAGGTGGGGACGGAGTGCCTACCTCAAGCGAAGGAGTTCAAGTATCTCGGGGTCTTGTTCACGAGTGAGGGTAAGATGGAGCGGGAGATCGACAGACGGATCGGTGCGGCTGCAGCAGTAAAGCAGGCGCTGCACCGGACCGTCTTGGTGAAGAGGGAGCTGAGCCGGAAGGCAAAGCTCTCAATTTACCACTCGGTCTACGTTCCTACCCTCACCTATGGTCACGAACTCTGGGTCGTGACCGAAAGGACAAGGTCGCGGTTACAAGCGGCCGAAATGGGCTTCCTCCGTAGGGTGGCCGGGCTCAGCCTTAGAGATAGGGTAAGGAGCTCGGTCATCAGGAGGGAGCTTGGAGTCGAGCCGCTACTCCTTCACGTCGAAAGGAGTCAGCTGAGGTGGTTCGGGCATCTAATTAGGATGCCTCCCACTGGAGGTTTTCCAGGCACGTCCAACTGGGAAGAGACCCCGGGGAAGACCCAGAACACGCTGGAGGGATTACATCTCCCAGCTGGCCTGGGAACGCCTCGGGATCCCCCAGAATGAGCTGGAACATGTTGCCGGTGAGAGGGAGGTCTGGGTCAGCCTGCTTGGCCTGCTGCCACCGCGACCCGACCCCGGATAAGCGGAGGAAAATGGATGGATGGATGGATTAATATATATATATACATATATATATGTAAAAATATGCATTTTTATTAACAAGCTGGAAGCTGTTGCACACTTGGTCTTGATTGCCTCTCATCACATACAAATATACAGTATAGTAATCAAACTGAATTAAACTGGGCAGTCAATTTTGGGTAAAGAAATAACTAAATTTGTATTTTATTGCTAATCAACTTTTCAAAAAGAAACATTTTTCAATTTGAATGTATTTGGCTTTTATATCTATCCATAGAATCCTCATCCAGACTACTAGCAAAAAACATTTATGCTCATTGTATTGTGAAGAGTTGCTTGGAAAGTTGTTGTTGTAAGTTGTTTATTTGACTAATGTTACATACTATTATTGTAGTGTATGTGTATTGTAGTTTTATATACATATGTTTTATTATCACTTATTTGTTTTACTAAACGCTTGCACAAAAAGAAGCAAGTTAAATCAGTTAAATCTGCAGTATTCAATATCTGTATTAAAAATGGATGACATGAATGTGACATTAATGTGGGATCATTTTTCGGGATATGTTCACAGAGAACTATAACTAAGTCTGCACTGTGCTTCATCTTTAATCTTAATAATTCACTGTTGTAGTTTTGCGGCCTGCAACTTTAACTGTTTTGCATCTGTCACTTTGCTCTCATAAACATCTCATAAACATCTATGTTTATGAGAGCAAAGTGACAGATCCAAAACAGTTCAAGGCTGTGTGAATATAAACATATGTGGAGCTAATAACTCAAGAGAACAGAATTTGCATCTGTATTTGAATGTGAAATGGAGAAAAATAAACACATCTAAAGAGTGCAGTGGAAAATCGTGGAGAATGCTCCATGAATAAAGGCATAATTAGAGAGGCATAAGTGCTTCAGAAAGCTCGTGTTTCTATTGGCCAACAAAGCCTGCATGTCCTGTGTGATGGCTAACCACTCAGTGTTTTGGCCCTTTTTGTATTAACAAAGTTAATAATCAATGTCAGACATGGCCAGTAGGGGTCCTCTCAGGTTGAGTAATATTAGGTGTGGGTCTTAATCAAGTGCATGATACTGTCAACTTATATAGGGGGCTGAATGGGGATATAATCAGTGGACTAATCAGTGATTAACCATTCAATGGTTAATCAGTGAATGATCACTGTTGTCCAGATGTCCGAGTGATGAGTTCCTCCTATCCCACCATGTGCTCAAGCCTTTATAAGTCGTACACAACCAACACTCTAGGTTCTTCCTCCTTCAGACCGCATTGCATTCTGAATGACGATTGAACCTTCTCTACACAGAGAATAAAGACTTTAAAGACAAACTTCTTTCCTCAATGTTTCTTAATTTCAGTATCATAGGACTCACTCGGTATTGAATAATTTTTTCCACCAGACCTGATAAATCAGGGGCAAGTGCAAAAGCAATATCAGGGAAAAGTCCAAACTCCATATCAGAGTTAATGTGTAGCTTTATTGTACTTATCACCTTAAAAACTGACAAAAAACCCTTTTATTCAGTTGTTCCCTATAAACATGTCAAGGAAGTTTTCTTTTGAATGAATTCAACATTTCAATTACACACATATATTCCTTAAAAAAGCAGAAAAACAACAGTTTTGTCATAAAATATGCTGAGGACACTGTAAACACCATGCTCTTTTACAATCCCAAATAGGACCGATACTCTAAAGAGCAAACAGAGATTTTCACATGCAGCGTGAATGCTGCTGGGCAACATGCCGTAGATTAAAAAACAAAGGTCGGAAGTTTCACATTGAGCAACAAATCTGATACGGTGCAAGCCTTTAGAGCATGCTCAGCTCAATGAGACGGCCTGCGAACACGCCTAATGTGCCGATCAGACACACAGCCATGAACACACACAGCAGAATATGATCCAACACCATGGCCACAAACTTCCACTCTTCAGCCGCCTGAAAAGAGAAAAAAGGGACGTGTCACTTACACAAAAGCAAAAATCCTGAAAGAACCATATTAGTGACTCTTTCTGTGTGAGAGAGATTACATTGTTGGATTCCTCATCTGATTTCATGGTTTCTGCGATGTACTTGACTCCTTCAATGGCACTGCGGACGTCAGGGTTCTTGGTGATGGGTGACTGGTAGGTAACAGAAGAGGTCTGGTTGCCAGAGATGTCTGAGATGTCAAAATCAGCACCATAGATACTAGATTTGGTCTGCTTTTCTTTTCCTGGGCGTTTCATTGTTGAGAAGAACATGATGTTGGGAATGGTTTCAATAAAGACCTGTCATAGAAAGACAAAAGATATGCACAATGTCAAGGGACATACAACATCTACTACCACTAGATGGCACAATAACACAGAGAGAAAAAATCATTAAGGATTCTTCTCCAAAGCTTGGGAATAGGACCAATGGATTTCTATTCAATTAATGCTGTTGTGCTCACCGTGCGGACCCAGTCCGGCATTGTGTGAGTGCTCGGGGAGCGGTGGTGGGTGTTGATGACAATGACAGTGATGATGATGGAGGCAATGACGAAGACCATGGTGAAGAGCATGTACTTCCCAATGAGCGGTACAGCACTGGAGGTAGAGGGGATCAGCTCAACAATGACCAGCAGGAACACAGTCAGAGACAGCAAGACAGATATGCTGAGAGTCATCTTCTCACCTATGAGACACAACATAACATCCTCACTAGCATTTTAATTAGTCTTAAACTGAGAGGACGTCATGCAATATGCAGTTCTAAGAAATATTCTATCAACATTTAGACCGGTGTTTCACAGTGAGGAGGTCAGGACACGATTAGAAGGGCAGGATTAAGCTGAAGGGTCCAGATGAGTAACATTTGACAAAACAATCTCACCTTAAGGGTCTTTTAGTAGCATTTGCGATATGTGATATGATAAAAAGCTTTAAAACAGCTACTGAAATTACCTGATGTGTGATTGTTTTTCCAACGCTGTTTATAAGGTCACAGATTAACAATTGAAAAAATTGCATAACAATATCTTATCAATAATGTTTGCTTTTTCTTCTTGTCAATTTCTGGATAATATTACTTTAAGACTCTAAAAATCCTTCAAAAATAAATAGTTCTTCAGTTGAACTTGTGACAAATACGAAAGCAAGGACGATGGTTCACGAATCATCATTGCTTAATTGTGATGGGTTAACTTCAGACCACAACATCCGTCCCAAAATGTTTCTAATAGAATATAGTTTTAGTTGAAGAGGACATGATGTTTTTTCAGTGAGAAATGGAATATACAATAACGCATTCTGTGTTGTTTAAACACATCCTATACTTTAAAAGAAACATTGAAATAAATAACTCTGAACTAGGTGTGGGAATTGTGGAGCTGCCACTTTAAACAGCTTGTTAGCTCATGATACCCATAACATGCAATCTTAATACAGTGCCACAGGGGAGGGCTGTTGCTATGAGTAAATACTTTCCTTCCCTTCCCACCCAATCAGGATAGTTACACAACTACACAAAAACTGCAATGATCAACCAAACCAGCAAATCACATTCTAAAGAGTGTGAGCAATTTTGTCGTTGTTGTTTCTTTCACCCAACAATAGCACAAGTAAACAGATTCTGACACCATTTCACGAGTAAAATGCAAGACATGTTTTTGTTGTTCAGTACGAGCAGTAATCCCAGAGAGAGAGCATCTTTTGGCACCAGGTCCTCCTCCACACTTTCCTGTCAGCAGTCGTATCAGAAACTGAGATCAAGTGATCTATTATACATTAAAGCAAAGGCCTGCTTTCAGACTTGACAACACAGAGGGACCCTGGGTAATGAGGCAGACCTATACACTGGGAACATATCCAGATGTGCACACATGCGGTGCAGTTCCTGCGGCAGCTGATGGCTCAGAATAAGGGACAAGGTTTTGTCATGTTGGTTATCATATCATATCATATCTGTGTTTTCATCACATATCATGAAAGAGGACAATTTAAAAAAGTGTAGAATTTTTACAGAACGTTCTTAACAATTTGCACATATTTTTTTTGCATACCCCTTATAATAAATATTCAGTGTGCATCTAAGTGCATCAGTTGAGCGTGTCATAGTGCATCACTACTACTGTACTTGACCCTACATTTCAGATGTGAATGACATTTACTGTCCTCCGTGTTCAAGAACTAGTTTTAGATTTTGGGAAATAAGTTGCTTTCCTACTGAGAGTTAGATAAGAAAATACATCTTCCATGTCTGTGGGCTGAACATGAAACTACAACGAAGAAACTGTTAGCTTAGCTAATTACTTAGCTTTGTTGAATACTCAACTCTGATTGGTCAATTAACTGCATTCTACAGTCTGCTATTTTTTTCATAGCGGACTGATATGACTTACACAGTGAGTGGACTATTCTGTTTCAGTCGAAGCAATAAAGTTCTTAAATCAATAAAATCATTTTAAAATCAATTTCTTATATAAATTGAATTGCAACAAGAGGAAAAAGGCAGCGTGTGGGTCTTTACTGGAGTATTAACCCTGACATGGAGATGTCAGATTAAACAAAAAGGATTTAGCATGTTATATAGTGAATAACAGTTGGACCAAGCAAGGCTATTGTTTCCCCCGTTTCCAGTCTTTGTGCTAAGCTACAATAACCATCTCCTGGGTTAAGCTTCATATTTGTCATAGAGATATGAGAGTGGTATCAATCTTGGGACAATGTATAGTGCTATAATGCCAGAGATATTGCTTTTAACTATACATATATATGTATGTCTATATGTATATATTTTTGTCTTAATGTCATTTTGCTGTTAACTAATACTTCAGGTTAGATTCCTGTGAAAATCAACGATGTGGAATCCGTGTCAACATACCAGAGTCTGTAGGAAGATAGAAGACAAGACCAGTCAGGAAGGAGAAGAGCATGCAGGGGATGATGACGTTGACGATGAAATACAGCGGGAGCCGCAGCATGAGGAAGTGGTAGGTGATGTCCAGGTAAGGTGTGTCTGGGCAGCAAGCGTAGTACACCCAGTGCTTCCAGCTGCGGAAATCCTTCATTACCCACTCCCCACTTTCCATAAAGTTACTCAGATCAGGGCGGTCACTGTCCTGGTGAAGAGAGGCAATAAACAGGGTGAGTAAAGGATGATTTAGAGTTGATGAGAAGATCAATACCACTCTTTGATGGTATGGTATGAATCTACAGACAGGAGACAACTTTTTGTAGGTATACGTACGACCAATGAAGGAGAGCAGCCTGAATCAACGTGTTACATCTCTTTTGTTAGAACTGTACAGAAACTGTACCTGTTTGTGTGTTTTTATGGGACTACAAAAAAGTCACTGCTGCTGGCCAAGAAATGGTCTGACACAAAAGACCTCATAAAACTGTAATATGTAGTTCTCCCCCTTTCAGTTTCTGTGCTCATGAAACAAACTAGATGTACTGTGCTACATAGTGAGATTTAGAGGTGCTGGCAGGCAGATTTTTACCTTTGGACAGAGCCAGACTAGCTATTTCTTCTTAATGCATATGCTAAACTAAGCTAACTGGCTGCTGTCTATAACCTTATATTATACGCATGTAGACATATGGGAGTGGTATTGATGTTCTCATCTGACTCTTTGGAAGAAAGCAAAGAAGCACATTTCGCAAAATATTGAACTATTCCTCTTAAGAAATGGCCTGAATGAAATTACAGGATTGACGACGACCAAGTTTCCATCGTAGGTCCAGGTACCCAGCTTCATGCTGCAGTTCTGGAGGTCAAAGGGGAAATGCAGCACGATGATTTCACAGTAGCTCTTGAAGATGGCAGGCGGGTTCCATGTGATCATTCCTGTGTGCTCCAGCAGCACTTTGGTCTCGTGAACGATGGCAAAGTCTCCGTCAGCACTGCCGGCACAGAAAACCCCAGGCAGCATCAACATGGGAGATAATAAGTTAAATATTAACACAAGGGGACATCGGTGCCTGAGGTGGGGTCAGAGCTGGTCTCGCACCCCAGCCAACCAGCGCTCAGCTTGGCACAAGTTGTGGCAGCGGAGCTGGTTGTCGTGGGGGAAAAAGCAGCATGTTAGACGCAGCATATGGTGAGAGGGGGAGTCAATGCAGAGTCCAGATTTAGCCTAATGAAATCTGAGCTTTCACATGCTGCATACTGGAGTATAGGAAAGTTTTGAAATTGTTAATTGTTTCTAGAGGTATGGATGCTTCCAGTCATGTAAAGCTTATTGTACTGAAGAAAAAACAGGTTTCATAGAAAAGAGATGTGGCATGCATCAAATATAGCCTGCAACATAACCTACTTGTTGTAGAGAACCAGATCAGGCCGCCAAATGTCAGTGGAGGGAACTCTGATCTTTTTGATTCCACTGTAATCCTCCGGGTTCCACTGCAAGTTCACATCTTTCCATTGCTGAAAAACAAACAAACGGAAAAGGACACGCAGAACAATGGACAGCGCTTCTGTTATGATATCCATTATTAATGTTTTATTTTCTGAGAAAAAGCAAATATGAGCAAATATGTAATACTACATTTTCACAGTGGAGACACATTTTGTTCAGAAAAATATTTTAAAGGAAAATTACATTTTCTACATAAAGGGTTCCATTAATTGCTACATAATTTTATTTCCTATATTTCTTCAGTGATAGCTGATAGCTAAAGAATCATTCTTACTCATTTTCATTGATACATTATTGAAATTATTATCCGTAAATATGATGGTGTGTCTGAAGTCTCTTCTTCTTTCATAATATCTCATCAACATAAATAAACAAAAACATGTATCAAACCTGTTTCAGTCGCACATTGCTGCTGACGATCTGGTTGACCTCGTCCTGTGAATCCAGATAAATGTGTTTCGACAGTTGATGACAGTACATCTTAATACAGATGGTGATGTGATGTGTTACATGAGCCCTCACCACACTGATGAGCTGGATGAGCTGAAGGCCCACAGTAACAACCACCGGGTCCTTGAAGTGATTGACAGGACGGACCACCTTATTGTAACCAGTGAAGAGGGTTTTAACCAGACGTGTTTCATCAAAAGAGGCCCACGCAGCACCTAAAAAACACACTGTATACGCTCATTGTTGCTTACAGTTACTCTATTTAAGGCAATGCAATATTTCTTTACTCCTCAAGCTACAACTTGTGTGTGATGAAACATTATCATGCTGTGCCAAAGTAGAATGTCGCTTTAACAACATCTGATACTTGAGGTGACTTAATTTAATATGAGTTGAAAATAGATGTGACAAGTGTCATACTATGCTGTAAAGTCAATACATGTGCATGGACTCGGTTGTAAACTGAAACTGACCCACTTACTTGTGTACAGTGTGCATGGAGAAAAGCTCCAAAACGTTGGGCTTTAAATACATTTTGGTGATTTAAAAAAGTTAAATGTTTGTTTACTTACTTAAATGGAGTTCCAAGATATTTAGGAGAGATAAAATGCAATAGCACCCCAGTGAGGTTGTTAAAAGAGATGTTCTTATGCTCTTTCCACTGCATATCTGTCACAAGCCAGAGAGCGAGATCCCATTTCATTTTGCAGCTGACCTTGAAACGAAGGTCATTTTACAGCAACATGTTGTTTGAATGGTTGAATGATTCTCCAGACATTCAACTCAGTAAACTAACAAATCACATCAATATAATTATGCAGGTGACTTCATGAAGTGGCAGACAGACAGAAGGTTGAAAGGCAAAATGTAAACAGCACACATGCCCTTGTCAATCAAATAGCTGGTTTGCACAGAATTTAAATTTTCTCATTAGTTTTGTTGCTTTCACTAAAATAAGAGTCTCAATAAACACAATAAATGCAAACAGAGTTAACTGATTGTTTTTGTAGACTTTATAGACTTTTTATACTTTAAACACTCAAAGTAATTCAAGCAAAGTAGACAGACATATATTTCCACAGGTAACCAACAGACATTTTCTTCAGTTTTAAATAAGTTCTTACCTGCTAGAATGACCAGATGAAAAATTGAAAATACAGTATTCATTCTTGCCAATAAATGCAGGCATCCAAAACCAAGATCCAACTTCCGCACGCTGCCCGTTGACCACTTGAGAATTGGAAAGGTTTGACCCACCTAAAACATTCTTTCAGCACTGGCCAATGACTTGCTGTACAAGCTCCAAGCTCTCCACTGGCAGCCTTGTTGTTATTGTCTGACAGCGGATGTGAGTGACTGGCTGCCAATGCTTGTCATTTGAGAGGGCCACATTCTTTGTCATCTGTTATAAGATCAACATGCCGGAGTAATCCACCACTGAAATATCCCATAGTGAACTCGGCCACACACAACCTCGAGATGAGAGGCAGCACATGCTTGCGGTTTCTTTTTCTTGTAACAGTGATGTCCTATCCTTCTGTTTTCAAATCTGTTTACACAGATCCATAATGTTTAGCCCCTTGAAACACTGAGTAATGATTTCATATGTTTAGTCCGTATCTGTTTGTGCCAAAGAAAGCTCTCTCTGATGGACCATTTCATTTTGTTGACATATGTCATATTTGGTATAATTGTAAAGCTTTGGATTTCAACTAGAATTAAAAAATAAAGCTCTGTCAAGTTCATTTTTGACATTGCAAACATGACAATATGATCCTTCCACAAGGGCCATTTAGTAGCAGTTAAATTGTCGCATATGATCAATATTCCATCTGCTGAGGAAGATCATGTGATGAATTTTGAAAGTCAAATTAAATGTCAAGCAGTGATTGCTTCTCAGATGCTTTGTGGTGATATTTAAAGTGCAAAAACCTAAACACGGGGACAAGCTGAACGTCAAGCTTCAAACAACACAAACACTGTGGTTACGTCAGATATTATATCTGTCAATAAATAAAAATAAATCAAGAATTTCTTGAAATTGTATGGAATTTCAGAAAAAACATTATATGAAATGGATGATTTATGTATATATATATATATATATCATATATATTTATAAAAGGCTCCCTTGTACGTTACCGCTAAACCTTGAAATTATACTTTGAAAATACATAATAAACTTAATAAGAGTTTTAGTGAAGTTGAATGATTAGTCTGTGATTTGAGTTGTATTATTATTCATTATTTATTTTTGTGTGATAATATGTAATACACTACATGGTTAGTCTGACAAATGTATATCTGCGTACAACATTATAATGTGTTATAAACCATTTAAATGTCAATATGCTCCTCATTGTTTAGTGATTTAGTTAATCGTCGTTCAATGAAAGGCAGCGTCTCTCATGTCCAGTTGCCCCACAATTTATGATATTATAATCTCAGATGATTCAGATGTTCAAACAGCCTTGTGTGTTTCCTGGGGGGCCAGGTGTTACACCCATGTTTCCCTCCTCTGCTCTGCACTACCCCACCCTGTCGGCCCGTGAAGGGTCAGGCAACTCAATTTCCTCACACCCCAAATCCGTTCAATCAGCCAGTCACTCAACCGCCCGCCTCGTTCATCTTACTTAAGGACAAATGACCATTTTGGCAATGTCTGAATTATGAGAGATTTGTCTCAACCCACCCCCTCTCTATCTCCTATCACTCAAGCAACCTGAACTTACACCATGTAAGCACCGCTTTGCCTTTCTTCAAGTCTGTCATGTAACACGGGACAAGCCAGCATTGTATCTGCTCAGCCAACCTGTAGTCCCAGGCGTTTTGGTTCTCTGTCAACTGTTAATTAAAACACTTTGAATCCCAGTCTCTGGAGGACTGTAAACTGTGTGTATATAACTGCGCTGTGATTAAATGTTCATTGAATCTGAATGAAAGCGTCCATGTAATATCTGCAGGGAGGTGAATGAAAACTGGACAACATACTGGATGTTTATGCCTCGATGAAGATTAAGAGGATTAGAGTTTTCACAGAGAGATTTGAGACAAAGAGATTATGATGTGTGTTGAATGTTTTTTTTTTACATGATATTCCAACATAAATATGGCAACGTTTGACATTGAACAGCATTAGTAACAGTCCTTGGCAGACACTCTTATATTTCCATTATCATAAACCATTATATGGTTTCACTGTTGCTAAGTATGCAAGTCTTATTTTGACGGTGCTGGTTTGTTAAAAGGTAAAATCACCCTTCATATAAATTAGCATTGTATAAGCACAGCAACATTAATTCACCCTTTTATATGATTATTACACTGTTGCGAGTTCTTTATGAAATACAAAAAAATCGTGATTATATCTAACAGAATAAAATGTTTTGATTTCAAATACTTCACATTGGTGAACTGAATATTTCTTTATATTGCTACATTTGAATATTCAGGTCAGCTGGAGGAAAGCATTAGCATCCAGTCAACAGTGAAAAGTCAGTTATCTCATGGATCACAGCCTTTCAAATGGAGTCTCATTACTGTGAATGAGGCAAATCCACCGCACAATGCATTTGGCAGACATTACTCCAACACGGTGTTATCACAGCATCCGACTGAAGGGTAAAAAGCTCGATAGCTTTATTGGTGTGGCTTACCTCCTTTCACAGGCAGTGCCTGATGTAGATGAAGGTATGATATATCTAAAATGGCTGATAATGGCGGGGGAGGATAAACGGTCGGATGAAAATCCAATTTTGCCACACAATCACCAGAGACAAGTCTGAATTTGGCTTACATTAACTCAATGTGATGTGGTCACAACACCCCAGTGATTAAATGTCAAGCAGTGATTGCTTCTCAGATGCTTTGTGGTGATATTTAAAGTGCAAAAACCTAAACACGGGGAAAAGCTGAACATAAAGCTTCGAAAACACAAACACTGTGGTTACGTCAGATATTATATCTGTCAACAATAATCACACCTGACAGCTCACGTGTCCACAGAAAAAAATAAAAATTAATACGCAATGTAAAATGAAGATACTATCCAAATAACTCATATTGGAGGCTAAACAGTTTGAAACAGTGGTCGTGTAATGAGTCACTGATCGCTGTGCATGGCTGGTTTATAGAAATTGCTTGGAAAGACATAACCTGTGGGTGATTAAACCCAAAATGCATAAATTTGATGTGGCATTGTTTGCATATCCAGTAATTAACAGTCTCTCAAGTGGTGTTGCCTTAGGTGTTGTGTGTTTGGTTTTAATCTCACCATGAATCAGTATGACTGATGTGTTGTTAGAGGGGTTTATGTACAGTAAATTCACATGACGTGAGGCTTTTAGGCACAACATGTCATTCTGAATATACAGAATGGAAGACTAGTCATATCTTCAGCCACAATGTTGCTCAGTTCAAATGTTTTAAGCAGCATCAAATGTTTATATATCAGTCTTTTCAAGGATACAGATGCTGTTATTATATATTTTTACTATTGCCAACAAATCCCATGAAAAGACAAGAATGTGTTTGTCTGTATCTTGATAATTTCTGATTTCCCCTTGCTGTCCGTGGCACTCAGCCCCAAGCCCAATCAGATTCTACTGATTTTTTAATTAGGCTAATTACCAAAAATAGCTGGGAACTGCTGTTTTTAGCTAACATTACTCAAACAGGAATAAATAGTACATTTGTTGGGGACTATTTTCAGCGATTAATACACGTTTGGCGCTCTAGGGAGAACTTATGGCAGGAGGATGGAGTGTTACGGATTCACCCGAAATTGTCCAGGATGATGATGGAAAACATCAGCCAGCGTATTGAGGTGTTTAGTGCAACAATGGAGGCCGATGGCTCAAAGAACATAATTTTGGCTTTACACTCAATATTTGTTCGTGAAATAAATACATTTCTGGTTTTAGTCTTTATGACAATATGTCATATATTTTACATTGCCGGACTTATCCTTCAGGGCAAAGACACGTGAATCAGTGATTTGGTTGGGAACCATTTCTCATTTACAATGAGGCTCACATGTTTACCATATCAACTTTTAAGTTGTGTTTACAGCTTGTTTCTACTGCCCAAAAGTGGCCGTAAAAAGGAGTTTTAACACACAATTTGATGTAGATCTTTATTATGCTAAGTGAGATGACACATTAAGCACATCATTTCTCAGAGTAAAGTTTAATAAATTAAAGTGATCATGCACAAGTTGCGTACAAAAACATTACAATAAAAAATTTAAACACAACAAAATGTTACGGTCAGGCAGATGCACCAGTGTGTACACGTTAACAGGAAAGGCGCATTCAACTACAGGTATTCAGGTCACATACAAAGATCAAAAAAATACAGCATCATAGAAATTACCCCAGAAATATCAGTAGCATATTTTTACACCCAGCTATACAATGTGTGACAGAAAAGAAAATGCACAGCAGGCAGCTGGGAATGTGGACTATAACTACTACAAAACAGACAAAAGCGAAATCTCAGCACTACACGATCTTAACACATGCTGGGTTACGACTACAAAGCAACAAAGACCTTGCACCATGCATGCTGGCCTGTCAGCTTCTGAAAATCCCCCGACAAAAATGGGGAGACATAAAGTACTTAAAAGTGTAAAGTTCATCGTCCACACCCGATGCAGGAAAGGAGAGATGTTAGGGCAGCACTAGTCCATACAAAGGGCATTTAAAAAACATGTATCAATCAATGTAATACAAACAGTCATTCAAGTCTTTACACAAAAGAATGATTAGATAGCCGTTCTATAAAAGTCCTGATCTGTGTTTAGAAGAGCACATCTTCATTTTTAATGAGCACCTCCACCACCTGTCTCTGGTAGCGGATGTCGTTGAGTGATGTTATGGCGTCCAGGTCTGGTGCGCGCATGAGAGTGGGTCCGAAAATGATGGCGAGGTTCTCCGCGTTCATCAGGTTGAATTTCTCATTCTGTGTCACCCTGCGAATATGTATGAAAAGAAGAAAGATTATTAAACAATTTTATTTTTGAGCAAGGCCCTCCCAGTGTTTCTAATATTAGACCTTCACCTTTTTGAAACACTCTCCCCACAAAATCTCTAAATAATGTAACACTTTTGATCTTGGTATTTAGCCACCGTAGTTAAAAGTGTGGAAAGAATTTAGTGTCCTCCAATTTAAACCATGAAATATA